AGATCTGTCACCACTTGAAATTAACTTTCCATGGAATTACAACTAATGGAAAATTTAATGCCTGGAGTTAGAATTCTGCACACACTGCCTGCAGCAMTYGGAGCACATTAACACAGAAACACGMTAATTCCAGCCTGTGGCACATGCTGAAAATAGGCAAGGAACTGGAGAGCCAAGCCATCTAATTTCTACACATTAAGGATATTTTGGGCTGGGAGACGAGGCTGGTGAGTGCAGGGATGGAAAGAGAGCTGGGACAGCACAGCAACAGCAAACAGCTTGATCACTCTCATTCTCAGCCACACTGCTGACTTTAAATAAACCTCCCTGCCAGACTGGCAATCTGCAGGAGTTTGYTCACCTGGGGTGGTGTGGGTTTTCTCTCAGCTCTCATGGGTCTAATTTTAATCCTCTAACAGGACTGATGTAAATTTTTATCTAATCTAAACACACGTGGTCCACATCCCATTGGTAGGTGGGAGAAAAGTCCTCCAACTGGCCAAATTTCAACTAATTTTCAATACTGTTTTCAATTATTGTTGTTTCACATGAATAAACTCTTCTCAATTCACACCTGTGTATCCAGGATGAGGGTATGTACTACCAACACTGCAGACATTGGCACTGCAGCTTTCCTGCTTTTATATTGATATMATTCACTTTAGTGACAGCCTTGTGCACAGGAGCAGGGCTGGGTGAAGACATGAGAATCACCAGAGCAATAATCACAATTCACAAATCTAACAGCCAGATTTTTAACAAACATTACACATAAATAAAGGAAAAATGGAAAAAAATCTAATTAAAAAGTATGTTTTGCTCTTATTTAATTTCTTTATATAGTTTGTAGCCATGGACTAGAATTATTGATGGTTTTGATTAATGAGTGTAGCCCRGAAAGCAGAACCTCCCTGCACTACACATGGGAGCAATACCTGATCAAAGAGCTCGAAGAGTTTTGCACTGGGCTGGTGAATCGTGCAGATGATGGACCTGCCACCCTGGGCCAAAGCCTTCATCAGAGAGACCACCTGAAAACACGATGCACTGTCCAAGCCACTGGAAAAAAAAGAAAAAAAAGGAAGTTTGTTATCCACAAGCACCGCTCAAAACTAGCACGTGTGTTTGCTCCTCAGCCTCTCATTATTATCCTTTTACAAATTTTCTCTGTAACAGTTTAATTTTATCATATGCCAACCTTATGCTTGTATTTCTCCATCAGGCTTTTAATTAAGTTGGAGGCATGCCTGAGAATGAAAAAGAGTATTCTCTAAGCTGCCTTAAGGGACTTCTGCATTTWAGGGCTGCAGATTTAAACGCTCCCAACTTTAATGAATAGATACATATTCAAGGCTTTGCCAGCCTCCTYCCAGACTGATCACATCCATTATCAAAAGTCACATTTTTAAATGTTTATATTCAACCTGTCTTTGCTAGGAAAAGAAAATCCAGGCCACAATATTTTCCTCTCTCCCTTCCTGCTGCAGTTTGTGTCTCCTTTAAATATTATTTTACAGCCCCAAGTCCAGCAGTTGCAGCAGTGACCCAAAGCACTGAGCACCCAAACCAAATTATTTCTTGGCCTTTTTCAGTACTTGCAGGCAACACAAAATGAGTCTTTCCCAAGGATTTAAGAGGTGAATAACTTTTCTGCAGCTCTGTTCTACTCTGTAAAGCTGTGTTTGTCTATTTTTAATGTCTGGCCCTGGAATACCTGGTTGGTTCATCGAAGAACATGACAGGAGGGTTGTTGACSAGCTCCAGAGCGATGGCAAGGCGCTTCCTCTGGCCCCCAGAAAGGCTCCCAGTCCTCGTGTTGGCACAYGTCAGCAAACCGAGGGCTGTCAGGATTTCCTTCACCTGGAGGGAACAGAACATTYCTGGTTAGAACATTGAAAAAAATCCCACCCAGCCTCCTCACCAATTCTCCTGGAGATCGTGAACCAGCTTGCGGCTTCGTTCTGTCACCCACGCACCCAAAGCCTTTCCCCATCTCATGTAGCATTTATTAGGCTCAGTGTTAACAGCCAACCATTCACTGTCTCGACCCAAATTCTGCTGGTTTGTCCTGCATGACCTCACTCAGCAAAGAGGTGAAAAAGGAGTGGAAATCAGTTCCTGTGCAGCTGTGTATTTATGGGTACGGCACGGACATCAAAAGAGCTTTGCAGCATGTKAAGGGGTTTTTACAGAGAGACACCMAGGAGTTTCTTTCAACAGAACTCTGGGGCTGTATCTACAAGGGCTCTGCAACAAAGATCAGTGTTTCTACAGAGCAGTGACCTGTTTTATCTCCTCTGTTCTCCACAGTCTCCTCTTCAAAGTGCAGCCATTGATTTCAAGTGTTTGCGTTCCCCTCAGAGTTAATTCAGCTGCCACAGGTACGCTCAGATGTTTGGGATTTCCTCAAGGCACAGCCTCAGGGAGGGCACAGCTCGTCCCAGGGTTTTTGGGGCAAAAGGAGAACAATCCCAGGCACTGYGATTTTTTTCTCTTTCGGTGACTGTAGATCTGGTCTGGTAGCCYCATATGAGGGAAATAGCACTTTGGAATCAGTAAAAGCATGGACACAAAAATGAGTGAATCCATGATCTATGAAATTTAAAAACTATATCACTTCAAAGGAAAAAAGCAGCCCAGATATTTAACACTTCACTGAAGGACAGGAGACAGAGCCCATCATTTTTAAAAGCATCAACTGCTTGGATGGAGGCAGTTTTCCAGAAAGAAAACTGCCTGACCTGCTGAAAACCTGGTGAGACCAACCAAGGCTTGACCCTTTGTTTGTCCTGATATTGATTTCCAGGAGTTCCCTCTCCCAGTGAGAGGGAGTGAAAAAAAAACAGAACAAAACCCTTTAATCCTTGTTCTCAGAGAGAAAAGCCCAACCACCCCATTCCCTTTAGGGAATCCAGGGCCCAGGCAGCACAACCAAGGTCAACCAGAAACAAAAACTATGGCTCACAGGAGGATTTTCACTTGTGCCTGCTTCAAACAAGAACCTGCAATCCTGCAGGCACAAKTGTGTGAATTCATAACATTTGTCTACAATAAACATTTACTCTCCAATTTACAACAATAAAATGAATTACCTTCTTCTGCACAGGGTGGTAACACTAACCAGAAAATCCTTCTAATGWGTGCTGAATAAACACAGCACAGTTTTTTTCCTCAAAGAGTTGTTTGTAATTACAGTGACAGTGTGAATGAGTGAATTAACTTGCTTGGCCTAACTTTACTAATGTGTAAATGAACCAAGGCTTCTAAAGTACAACTAAATCAACAGATGTTACTATACAAATCTATTTTCCAATAAAAAAAATAAAAAAAACAAAACCAATCTGTGTTTACCAAACATAAGTTGATTCCTGTAAGTTTCACTCTCTGATTTTCAAGGATTTTCTCRAGTCTGAAGAAATGCCAATTGCTCCAATTTGGAAATCAGTACAGACAAGGGGGCAGTCAGAAAAAAAAAGCTGTTCTACCTAGGAAGTTGCCATAATCTTCATATTTCAGGAAAAGTTGTACTTTTCCCCATGGATGGGTGAGAGGAGCACAGTTCCTAGTGCAGGTCCAGCAGGGTGATTTATCTCACCCCACATGAGATGCCTGAGCTCTTGTGGAAGAGAATCCAAGGTGCTAGGGTACATTAACAGGAATCCTGCAAAACCTGTGAATTAATTTCAGTGAATCTTTTCCAGTTTTGCASTCTCATACTGAAAGCAGTTTTCATGGAGACTGCAGTAAACATTCCCTCCTAATGACACGTGTCAACCTTGAGGTTATGATTTATTCTGTCATTGCAAGTCCAGTGCAATTCAATATTAGAAAAAGAATGACAGCTTTACAGAGCTCACTTCATGGCTCTTTGGCATCCCCAAAATTCTGGTCTGATGGGCAGTGTACATACCATTTCTCTCCTCCCTTCATCTTTCTCTTGWAGCTTCAGATGAGCAGATACCTGGAAAGCAAAAGAAAGGAATTCGATTTTAAACTGCCCTGAGCACCAGTTACAGCAGATACTGCAGGCACAACACCCCAAGGAACCATTTAAACAACTTCTTTCAATACAGTCAGAAAATCAGACCTTGAATCACAAAGTTCCAGTCACAAACATCACATTTTTCTGWGCAGTAAATAAGTCTGATTTGAGTCTGATTTGATTGAGCAAAGCACCTGACAAAAAGCACATTAGAAAGAAAGGCCACTCTGCAAGTCAAAGAGCTTGAGAGGAAGACGGGGGAATCACATATTTTGCACATCCAAAATCTTCCCAGGCAACACTGAAAACACATTTCATTTGTGCTTCATCCATATCCTGAGGATAACTGAACTCTGCCATTCTCCAGGATGCAAACAAGTGAGCACAGGATGCAAACAAGTGAGAAATAAATAATCTTGTCAAAGATGTCATCTGCTGTCCTGAGAGGCAGCTCCAAAAAACATCGTGATTAACCTTTATTAAAAGCAATTAAATTGTTAAGTAATTATTTTTTGTCAGAGCCTTGATTGATTAATTTAGACAGCAACTGTAATCTGGGCCCAATTCTGCAAAAGTGGTCCCGTGGGATTCTGAYGAAAACACTCAAAGTAAACAAAAGAGAAGAAAAGCTTCCCCGCAGAAAGGAGCCTTTGCAGAAAATCAGCCACATAAAAGATAAAAGCTGCAGTGATTTTTTCTGGCCTTAAAATTTGTGAATTGATGCTGACACACAGTGAGCAAACTTAGCCTTATTTTGATATTAATCTCTGAAAAAAAATGGGCTCATTTCCCAAGTTAAATTACAGCCACTTCTAGATTAGCTGGTCAAGCTGGCCATTCATAAACTTTTGATTTTATGAAAAACAGTAACAAGAATTTACACTGTCTGTATATCTTGGACTTACTCTGTTCCTGACTTTTTTCCCCTGAAGAAGTGAAGGAGATTTTATACAATGCCTTTATTTTTAAAAMGGCACAAAAGAGAGATCACACTGAAGAGTAAATTAAAATTTTCAGTCAGAACATGGAAAATGGGGAGAAAGAGAGAGATGAGGTTACTCATCCACCACCCGAGCAAACAGATGGTCCCTACAAAGGCTCATTTGTGAAGAATTTCAGGTTCCATTCTCTACGAGATCCAAGGGGCAGACACTCAGATCTCCTCCCAAATCCTAATGCTGGGCACAAATTGGAAATTATAAAGCTAAAGAGTCCCTAGAAGTATGAGCCTGAAATGGAACTCAAGTCATCCCCAAATCCCAAGAACTGTCATTGAGCAGGATCAGACAGAGATCACAGCTTGTGACACCGCCAGGAGTGAGATCAAGAGCACAATACAAACCATTTCCCATTTTCCCCTGCTGAGATAAATTAGAGCAAGAAACAAAGCTCACCATCATGGCTTCCTGGACAGTGAGGTGGGGAAGGAGCATGTCATCCTGCATGATGTAGCAGGAGACTTTGCGGAAGGAGCGCAGGTCACGGGGCTGCCCGTTGATGAGGATTTCCCCTTTCATTCCCGTCTCTCTGAAACCAAACAAGAAAACAGGAGGAGGTGAATCCTGCCCTCACTTGTGCTACCACATGCCTGAGCATGTGGAAATCTTAGGTAGTTATTGCCACTTTGAAATAAAATTGATAGACTGGATAGAAATCCATTCATTTCATGATTTTGGTTTCTTTCATACAAAGCTTTGCGCAATGTCGCTGAAAATTTTTCTCCAAGGTAGTACRAAATATGTGCTGTCTTATATAAATGTCTGAAAAAATATCAAGACATTAAAGTAGGGAGTTTTACGTTCCTCTGTCCTGTTCCTTATGCCCCAAATGACAACAAGACAGAGACACTTTGGCCATAMAAGATGGGATTTAGAAAGATGAAGCACAGCCAGCTTCAGTCACTGCCATTTGGTCAAGAAGATATCAACATTATGAAGTGGTGACTAAAAAAGAGTAGATTTTTCAAGTGTTTATGTGATTTAGAAAACATCACAAACACAAGACACTGAGTCAGATTTGTTACACAGCCAAAAGAGGAGATTTTTCTTTATGTGTGTTTTTTTGGATTTTAAATTGCTTCTTATTTTTGGATCAGACCTGTGAAGATATAAATCCCAAGTGACCAGAACACAGAGGGAAAAATATAAACTAGAAGAATCTAATTCAAAATCTTTGAAGTGCCTGTTTTTGACAAACTCCAGGCTAAATTTTCTTCTGCTGTTGTCTCCAAGGAGYCCTCAGGCTCGGTGATCTTCTCTTAACTCGATTTTCTTTGGTACTGACCTGTATCCTGCCAGAATATTCATAAGCGTTGACTTCCCAGCTCCTGAAGGACCCATAATTGCAACGAGCTCCCCACTGCTGAACTTCCCTGAAATTCCTTTCAAAAGGGTCTTGTAACCTGGAAGAAGAAAGAAAAGTTCACTGAACCCTTCACAATCACATCTAGGGAGCAATGAAAGTTCATTTCCACAGAGCATTTAATGTCAAACAGATGTTAACAGGTTGAGGTTGATGCCAACATCAGCACGCTGCAATAATTATCAAAAATAATTATAGAAAACTGAATTTTGAGTTTGACCATCCCATGACACAAATGGTGTGGTGGGATTGCAGGGTCTCACACTCCTGGCTCACTGAGGGATGATTTTCAAACAGGGCCATGAAGCTTTGCTGCCATTCTCTAAGTGTCCTCTAAGGGTATTTTACCAGGGTGCTGCTAAATTAAAATATCCAATACTCCACAGCTAACATGACTACAGTCCTGGAGCAGGCTGCCCTCCAACCACTGCAGTGCCAAAATTCTGCCCTTCCACCAAAACAAAAACTTCTTACACTTCTTGTTACTGAGAGAGTAACAGCCAAAATCTCAAAGATCTTTTCCTTTTTTTATAAGAGAGGTCTGACAAACACAGCAAAAGGAGAACCACAAACCAGATACATTCTCTATAGTTCAGAGGAACTCTAAAGGCCTGTCTAGACARGGAGACTGACCACAATAACTCTGTACAGACGATTTCTAGGGAAATACTRATTCTGGATTAAGAACATGCAGGTTTTCCTCCCATTTAGATTAATCCATTTCAAAATATCATGACACTAGAATTACATCCTCAGGCAAAGATGTTCTACAGTGACACCACCACCTCCTTCAAGTATTTCAACTTATTTCTTAGTTAATTATCTCTGCCTGTAAAGCTTTATTTAAAGCCTAAACKCCATGTTATTCTATGTGTAAACAAACTGCATTCCAGTGAGAATTCCAGATTTGGACCAGTTGCATCTACCTTGCCCTGCATGATTTCCATGTAAAGGCATAAAAAGACTCTGGGAAATGTGAAGAGAACCCTGAGCAGCATTTAAATTTTTCAGGATTTCTTTCCTTTTTTGTTTTTTGGCTTTTTTTTTTTTCTTGCTTACTTTATTTTAACTACCAGTGCTCCCAGTTAAAACTTTAAATAATAAGAAAACATTAAGTAAGGTGTCAAAAAAAATCTCACATGTTGACAATGTTTACATAGCTCAGTTAAAACCAGAACAGAAGAGTGGAAAACCCATTTACATGCCGAGTCAGGATTTGGCAATCCATTTTTCCACACTGGTGGATATGCAGACAGAATGTACATTCCATTTGTAAACTATCTCAGTCCTCTGATCATCAGCACAGGCTGGAGCTGGAGCATGGAAATGATCTAAAAAAAAATCTCATTTTCTGCAAGCTCCTAGAAAAAAAGAGTGGTGGGTTATCTCCTCTTGATTCCTATTTCTTCCTAACTTCATAATTTGTTTTCATCTCCATTTATTCTCTTTAAATTTTCTTCTTGTCTCCATTCCCAGCTCACACTCCTCCTATGCAAACTTTGCGCCAAAAATATTGCCATGCTGCTGTGGGGTCAGCAAATCCTCTTCCCTGAGCCCACCCCAACCCAGRGGGAACTCAACAGCCACAAAAACTCTCTAGAAATATCTGATCCTAAAGTTTTCATGGCAAATATCCTATAAAATGTAACTGACTAAATGAATCAAAATAACCATTTTTTCAAGTGCCTTCTTTTTTTTTGACAGGACAGTATTTTTCACTATAACTCTTGGCCTGGACCTTAAGGAAACAACTTGTTTGGAAGCCATGAGATAGCATGATAATATCAGTGGGTTGCATCTGAAGGGAAAGTGCACAGAACAACCAGATCTTCCAGACATGACAATATTGAATTAAGATGATCTGCAGGGACAAAGTCCTTCACTCCTTCCCTTYGGTCAATGAGGACCAGCTCCCTCCCAAGCCTGTTAAACCTGTGAGRGACTCAAATATTAGAATGTACCTGCAATTATTTGCATTATGCAGCCAGGAAGTAAATACTGCACAGACTTTTGAGGGAGGATAAAAAATACTGCCATCAACGATGGACATGCAACCAAAAAATCAAACTCAGCAGCTGCAAATGTGGTACCACAAATATTATCACCTAAAACCGAAACCTTTCCCCTCCCTCAGTATGACTGTGAGATTTAACATTGGATGCATTAAAGTCACTTTTCCAAACAGCGTTTCACAAATCACAATCAGTTTAACTGCAATATCTCCCCCCTCATGACCTGCACGTGTTTCTGCCCTTCTGATGGAGGTTTCCATTTTAAGTATCCTGCACACAGTGTTAAACCAGAGCAGGATTCATCACACAACCACAGAATCAGCCTGAAAAGGATCTCCAAGATCATCAAGTGCAAGCTTTGACTGATCACCAGACTCTCAACCTGATCAGAGCACTGAGTGCCATGTCCAGWCATTCCTTGAACATCTCCAGGGATGCTCAGGGTGACTCCACCACCTCCCTGGGCAGTCCATTCCAATGCCTGACAACCCTTTCTGTGAAGAAATTMTTCCTGAAATTTTCAGCAAGTAWTTTGCAGTACAGCAGAGAAATATGCTTTAAGAAGAAATAAAGAAACCTCCCCCCTGGAACTATGAATTTTAGATTATGATCCCAATCACTGGCATGTTAAGTCGCTACAAACTCAAACCCATCTCTTCTTTTGRCTGGGAGCGCATAATAAGCTTTTCTATTACAAAGGTTAATTTAGCAAACTCACAAAAAGATTTGACACTGTGGCAGCAGTGTGGTGCCCCAGTATAATCCTTTATGAGGAATTAAAGTCCCTAAGCAACCACAGTTCTTCCCTTTYTGAATATCGAGGCTAATCTTCAACCGAATCAGTTGACCTAAAACTTCTATACCAGGCCACATGTCTTTCACGAGAAACAGATTATGCATTTGGAGGGGATTGTGTTCTCACAGAGCAGGGACTGTTCAACGTCCATCTGCCATAGATGAGGAATTTCTCCCTACTTTTGATCCCAGCCCACCTCGTTTTCTTCAGCCCCTGCAGCAGCAAGGAGTTTGGGTATGGCAGAGTTGGATGGAGGGCTGGACCTCAAAGCCAACTCASCCAAGGTGGGTGCACATCTTGGGCCATTCAGCTCCAGTAGCACGGCACCTTTGCACTGGAGTTACACCAAAAATGAGTTTAGCACTGTGGCTTTCTCGTTTTTCATTTCTCTTAAAACTGTTTCAATTTCCAATGGAAATCAGCATGGAAATCAGCGTGGTAACACAAGAAATTTCACCTCAAATCTTTCGGTTTTCCAATGTCCCCTTCTGAAGCTACTGATGTCATTCCTGAAGTGACATAACCTTTAAAAATACATATTTAGRGGCTGGTAAACGTGGGAATCTTAAGATCAGTTTTCAAGAACTACTTAAAATACGGGTTTGACATTAACACACCACCACGAACCAGAACAACCCCTCAGCAAATTTCTCAGTCCAACCCACTAAAAATAGAACACAGCAGAAAGAATTCAGAGCTCAAACAGATAATTCTAGTGGTGCAAAATTTCTTGGTCTTGATTTCACCTCACAYTACATTCCAGAGCTCAAATGCTTCTCTGGAAAAGCAGAATGTGTTTTGTTTTCCCATGCTAGGATTTCCCGTGAAAGCAAAGGTGAGGCATGGTGATATTTGATCAGATTCCCAGCTGAACCATCTRCCTGGCCTGACCAAACCCCCATTCCAGAGGTGGAATTCCCTCCCTGTCTGGCAGCAGCACAGCAGCCCCTTCTTCAGTGAGTRGACAGAGGTGACCTCGTGTCTGTGATGAAGATTCTAAAGGAGCTCTCCTTGCTCAAATCAACACATTTTTTACTGGTGGAAACAGCAAGGGAAAAATTATTGATGGCTTTATCTGCTTCCTCATGGATTTTGCAGAGATTTGTGGAATGATTTGGTTTTACCATTCCCACAGAAATTACGATTAATCTGGAAAGAAGTAAGCCATCCCTTCCTCATCCTTGGGGTTGGAACTATGCTTCAAGATTTGTCTGAATAAAACCAAAACTCACTCCATCTTCACAGTGAATTTCCTCAGGTAAAYACCACCTCACCACCTTTTGACTGAAACGCTCCATTCATTTACATTTCCTTGCCAGTAATACTCATTTGTCACTCAGAGAAATGTCACACAGGCTCCTGGAAGTTTCTAGGGGTTGTAACCCACTTCTGCCTCCATCAATAGGCACTCAGACCCTGCCTCAGGTCCCGGGTGAGCGCAGCAGGCTTTCCCTGCTCGCCACAATTAGAGCAGGGTTTGCCCTTCCCGATGTATTTGAACTGTTTTTCTTTCATCATAAACCCTTCTGGATTCAGGAAATCGCTGCTGGTGCCCTGCAAGTGCCACTGGCCTGAAATGGCTCAAAGGTTTCCCACAACATTCACTGAAGCAAAAGGTAATGCAGGAAACTTCACCTCTAACATTGTGAGTTTGGCAAAGCTGCAAACAACTGGAAACCGAGCCACAAAGAAATCAGCATTTGGCACTTAAAAATCAACACCAGAGACATCATAACCTGCTCTTTCCACACTCCCTGCCAARCAGAAATGAAGCATTCCTTTATTAAAAATTAAATAATTATACAMGGGTGATATTTCTGCATCTTTTTGTGGCAATATTTTCAGATAGAATGCATTCCTGCYGAGAAATATCCAGCTGGAAATACAGAAGACATCTCTGGCAAGTACTGTGTCACTACCCTGCCTGACTTTAATATTTCCAACAAGCAACACACTTTTTAAACAGTTCCCAGTTTAGAGTTCCATACACAAATTTGTTCTCTTACAGCACTGTCAGCCAAACTGTTCCTTAAATCATGACAAGAAACCGCAGCAATTTCTTGGAACCGTTTTCTGACCCATTAAAGAAACCTCACTGTATTTTCCTATTCTGAAGTTTATAGGTTCAGCCCTCACTTGATTTCCTCTTGTATCAATTAATAAAAAAAACCCGAATCTATGCTGAAGTCCAGGGAATTCTTCAACCTGAAACTAGAGTAAGGTAAAGCGGGA